GAAAAGTCCTGCTGCAGAGTATTTACATCAAATGTTATGACATTTGTCAACAACATTTTTAGCCATCATGGTCTATTTTGTACTACAGCACAGCCTCAACCTTGGACCACAACCCAGATGTTGACTTTTAAAATTAAATCACTTCTGGGTACCAGGATTTTCCTTGAATACTTGAAAAGAAAAAAGTATATACGTAGACTCAACTTTTGAAAAAAAAAAAAAAGATTACTTAAAAGTCAGGGTTCAAATTTGTGTTGTGATCTGATAGTTGAAGTTGGTTAGCTTATATGGCATTTACCACTGCTGTTTGCATATTTAGATTTATTATTATTATTTTACATTGGGATTGTCAAAATTAACATTCAATCATGCTGCTTATTTGCAGAGCATCCAGAGCCGGGGTGTCAAAGTCATTTGGGTTAAGGGGCATATAACCTAATCAGATGTCAAGTGGGCCGGACCAATACAATCATATCATAATTACATATAAATAACAAAAAGTCTACCTTGTTTTCATGCAAAAAAAAGTACATTGGATAAAGCTTTATATTTAAGGTTTGTGTATTTTGGAAATTTTGGAAATTCATCAAGTGGGCCGGATTGAAGCTCCAAGCGGGCCAGTTTTGGCCTGCGGGCCGTACGTTTGACACCCCTGATCTAGAACTTAAAATTGTCTTAAAGCCGAGCATGCGTCGGGTGAACCTGTAACTTTTCCTCCGCCACTCTGACTGGAAGCCTATGAGACTTGACTTAGAACACTTAAAAAGGAATGTTTAAAGTTCAATATTATATAAAAGTTACAATATGGTATTTATATTTACAAAAAAACAGGTTGACTAGGTTAAAATAAATAAAAAAAAAGATATGTTTTGGATAATTGTCATTATTATTAGGAATGGGCCCTGGGCATGTGATCGGTATGCCAGAATACAGTGCATTAACGATGTATTAGCAGCATGCTACTATGTGGATAATGTGCAGCATGTTATCTGTGCACTAGACTACATAAGTAGCATGTTGGTGCTACACCAGCACATAGCACAATTATGTAGCAATTCAGTTGTCAGTCATCACCAAGGCTAGGCCAACCTAATGCAGCTCTGACCTACAGTCTAACTCATGGGGGCCTCAACACCTGGTCCGGGGACCGGTGCCAGTCCATAAGTCATTTGGTACCCTACTAATACTAGTACTAATTTACTTAAATATTCCAGTCATATCCCTTTATTTGACAATGTTTCAAAGCAAAGGGTCATTCAGACTCTGAAACTAACAGAATAATAGTCTAAAAGTTTAAAATCTTAATGATCAATTCAACAACGGCGCGGTACCGGTCCACGGGAATGGCTGATACCAGACCGACGGTCCTTGGTACAAAAAAAAAAACTGGGGAACATTGCTCTAACTGACATGCTGAAAATGACGTTTTCACCTGAGCTGTTTGCTTCCGGGAACGTCGCAGAGTCACTGAGATTGAACTGCACGGTCAGGTTAGTGACACTGTAAAGACTCGTGTTGGTTGCAAAGCTCAGCCCTAGTCCGTGACCTGGTCCGAATGTCACCAGCAGGCGCGGTGAGCTGTCGTTTGTACCACATGTGCTCCTGTCTGTATCAACCCTGGCGGAATCTGGTAGAGGAACCTGTGCTGTTCTCTAAGGCAAACAGGAAGTCATTTAACAGGGGTTGAACACAGCAGGGAAAAACTGGGATTTGTGTAAGGTAGATTAGTCATCAGCAAGTCTACATACTGTACTGGTGGAGGTGTTGTAGGTGATGAGGAATGATGCAGAAAGCTCCGCCTTGATACAGGTAGAGTTGTTTTCAGTAACCTCAAAAGTCACAGCCTGGACGCAACCTGATGGGAGACAGTGTGAAAGAAAAAGCAGGTCAGTGTAAGGTCAGCCGAAGTTCCCTACTCTGTCATCTCACTTAGTGATTGCAACATTCTTTGAGCTTTAAAATGACCAGATAGAAAAGGAAGCGAATAATAACGACCCAAGAATAACCTGGATTCAAGAGTGCCAGAACAGAACAGATTAAAATACAAATTAACTCACTTCAATAATAATAATACATAAAAAAAAACATAAAGGTCTGGCTTCAATCCCACAGCATTTGCCATGTCACTGTTGTTACCTCCAAGTTCTCTGAATGTGCTGACAGTGAGGGAAACACTAGACAACATGAGACTCACCCATGACTGTGATGCAGGCGAACGCGATCGCAGTCCAAGGGAGACACCGTTTCATTCTTTGTCCTTAGAATTATTTTTAGAAGGAGATGAAAACTGCCACCGCCGCCTTTGCGTTGTTGTAGTTGTTGTGTGAAAGCCTAGGTTGTTGCCGGTGATGGAGGTGAACCGACTGCACCTGTTTGGACGGAGCGGACGCGCGGCTACGTCAGTCGTTGTTGTGAACTACGCTCAGGCTGCAGCGGTCCAAACCCAGAAGTGAAAGATGGAGTCGTTCGCCATTCGTTAGTATAAACTGCTCATGACCGACCGACCGACCTGAGGAAGTGCGTCGATGTTACAACCCCAGTGAGCGGACCGATTCCATGTGTGGTCATGTGACTAGGTGCTACGCTCCAGAGTCACGTGAGTATCTCCTGTCCCCGTCCCCTCTCACTAAAGTTCAAATTATTATTATTATTTATTTATATTGTGTTATTATTAATATTATTATTATTAGTTGTTGTTGTTATTTCCAATTTACTTTAAGGAAGATAATGGGGTTACATTCATATTCCCTCGATGACTGTATCTCTTGATACTTTAGCTAGCAGCTTAGCACATGTACCAAATAAAAGTTTAGGGTTTAAACTACCTCAAAGTACATTATGTTGTAAAATTGTTTGATTCATTATAATTAATTTTTGCCTAGTTATTATTATTATTCATATTGTAAAATTGTTTGATTCATTATAATTCATTTTTGCATAGTTATTATTATTATTCATATTCTTCTAATTATTATCATCCATCTTGCGGATAACATTAGCACATCTAATCTAAGTCTAATAAGGAAGAAGGCACCTCTGAAAACTGCATTTTCAGTTGAAACGTTTATTGGGTATGTGGAAAAACAGAAAGGGAAGTGAACATGTGAGAACACACACACACACACACACCCCTTTTGACTGCATGTGATGCGTTGGTAGTCAGCTGACTCGCAACAATTCACAAGGGGATGAAAAACCCTGGAAGGAACACACTTTGTGCCTGTGGCCTGCTTTCCAAGTCTTGTCATGACCTTGTTACATTCAGTCTGCATTCTTTAGTCATGCTTCTCCACTACAGACATATGCAGTTGTTTGCTCTTTAGCACAGAATATTAAACTTAACACTTACATTCAAGAATTTCCTCTGCTCTTTTAGAAATGTGGCCTCCAGGCTCTGGTTTTGTGGTGTGGTCAATCAGCCTTTGCGGGGGTTTTTTTTTTTCATCTTACAGTTCTTGGGTAATATTCTTCTATTTCTACTTCTTCTACTTCTACTTATTTTAATGATTATTTACTGAAGCAGTTGCTGGTCAGTAAAACAGGAACTTTTTTAAAAACCCCACCTCTTCCAGTAACTGTATAAATGTAACTACTCCACTGCAATTGATTATCATAAGTACAAATATTGTAAATTGCTCTGTGT